TAGTCTTATCGAATAAAGAGGGAATATGCTAATTAACTGCCCTGCCCTCAAAGATGGCAGCACCCACAGCCAATAAGGAGGGAATATGGTAATTGACTGCCAGGCCCTCAAAGATGGTGGTGCCCATAGCCACAAGCTGGCAGTGCCCAGTCCCCTCAGCCTCACTGGGGTGGCAGGTGAGCCTGCCTCCGGAGTCCCCCAGTCCCCTCAACCCCCCAGCTGCCCAGGGCTGGCCCAAGGCTCAGGTAACCAGGTGTGATGGGGGCATCACCTTCACCTGATCACTCTGTCGCCTCCCACCCCTGACAGCTTCCGGACTGTGAGAGGGTGAAGGCGAAGCTGAGGGATGCCCCTCCAGTGCATGAATTTTCATGCACCTGTCCTCTAGTATAATTATAAGAAGATATTTTTTCTCCATTCTTTAAAAATAAGATTTCAAATTCCAGTGGATATTTTATACTTACAGCACATCCCATTTTGAACTAGCCACGTTTCAAGTGCCTGTAACCACATGTGTCTAATGGCTGTCATGTATCATATCAACCCCACTTAGGAGCTTTAAATATCATACCACTTCCATTGAACCCTGCCAACCACGTGTAACTGTTCTCTGTGTGTGGCACGAGGCAGCATACCTAGCAAGGAAAGGAGGTAGCTTATAGAAATAAAAGATCCTCAGGACCCACATCCAATCTGGGTCCCTTAGGAACTAAAACAGGGCCCCACAATGCTGGCACATTCTAAGTTTCTCATCTCTGCATAGTCTCAATTTATTTCATGGGCATTTTTTCAACATGACAGGGGACAAGGCACCCAGTTGTTCTGGAGTCACATCTCCACAACTTCCAACAGATGAGAAAAGATAAATCTAATTCTGTTTAGAACTAGCCCAGCTCAGGTCACATTCCTGTACCCCACTGCTGGGAAGATGATTATTTTTGGCCAGGTCATTATGTGCCCATATTTATAATCACAGGACAGAAATAATTTACTACCAAGGGGAAGCTACCGTAGTACATATATCATGTCTGTTTCTTCCATGAGACATGTTTAGGGAACTTGGGCTATTTCTTGTGCCCCGTAAGCACTAGATAAATATTTGTAAGTAGCAAAAGAATAGTCTCCTAACTTGACAGGAGGGTTTAAGACAGTGATGGAGAACCTATGACATTTTTTTGGTTGATTTTTCTTTGTTACATGGCATTTAAATATATAAAATAAATATCAAAAATAAAAGTCTTTGTTTTACTATAGTTGCAAATATCAAAAAATTTCTATATGTCACACGGCACCAGAGTTAAGTTAGGGTTTTTCAAAATGCTGACACACCAAGCTCAAAAGGTTCACCATCACTGGTTTAAGAGAAGGCCTAAAGCAGGAGGAGGAATATAAATGCATTTGTTTGGAGCTGGGGATTGAGAAAATGAAAGAAAGAGCCAGACACAGAAATGGAAGGAGAAAGCTGGGGCCAGATGGGACCATTGTCCTCTGATGGAGAGACAGTGACCCAGAGCCAATACAGCACCTTTGTTTTATACAGCAAAAACCAGGAAGGTTTACTAAAGGTCAAGACAAAGGAGATTATGTGCTTTCTTGGGTGGGCCCGAGTCATGTTAATTCCTGGTGCTTGGCTGGATTTAGATAACGAAACCCACCCGTTGGCGCCTGGGCTGAAGGTCAAGCTGACAACATTCCTGCCCCTGGCAAGGCGTGTTTCCAGGACATGGCTCTGCCAATGCCATTGGATTCAGCTGACAATAATTAAAGAAATGCCCATGTGCCTTCCCAGGCGCTCTCTACAGTCTTTGGTAACGATGTGCCACTTTATAGAATTTTTTAGTGTGACTCTGTCTTATCCAACAGTACAATCATTTTTGCCATTAGTCTAACTTTAGTGATTTTTCTTCATTAATTTTTTTTAAAATAGTGCAAAGAAGGAGACTGTTCTTTTATATTGAAAGAACATTTTTTTCCTTCTTTAGAATTTATCTAACTTCCTCTCTGAGTGAGGTCTTAGTCTCAATTTATTAGTTCAGTCATTTAGCACAAAATGTAAAATTACAGTGTGCTCTGTGCTAGTTGGAGCCAGAACGCTGTTCCCTGGGATGCTGAATGTTCTACTTTTAACTCATATTTCTTCAGAGCGAACATGTTCCCCCTTTGGGCAGACAAAGGCCTCCTCTCTCCATTATGTTCATTCATCAGGAGAATTGTGTGAGTGGAAGGACTTGGAGGAGGAAAAATAGAAGAATCTTTCCTTAGTTTTCTTCTTTTAGGGCCTTCCAACAAGATTGAATGAGAAAAACTACCCATTTTTTTTTTAAAAAAAAAAACATAACATCTGAGTGTAAGTATTTATTTTGGCTGTAGAAAAAAACCCTGATTTTGGTCTACCCAAAGCAAATTATGTAGGGTCAGGTAGACAATATAAAAGGAAATGATGTAGGCCTCAATTATTTGGATGGTAGAGTATTTATTGATGTGGTATAATTTTCTAGGTGCCAACAGCACAAAATAGTTCTTCCCTCCTGCACACTGCTCTCCTAGTGGCTGTTTCTTTCTTATGTCATCCCAAACCTCTCCCCACCCCACTTGCTGTGTTTGTTCAGACATCCCGAAGCATATTTAATAGTGTGCGTAACTGTAGCTTCAGGGTAATGTTAATGTGCAATTCTCATGGAATCCCAAACCACCTAAACCACAAACGTGATATCTGGGATTTCTTTTCTTTTTGGTATTTGTTTTATGGGCCCGATTAAGAAAAGTTAGTAGGGTGGGTTTTAAAATGTTTTGCTTTTCTTACTGTTTCAAGGTAAACAATTTAATCTTAGCTTATGGTTTTCATTCATTTTAAATTTATAATCATAATATAACAATAGTTCATACACTTTAGAAAAAAACTTTATACATGATGTCATTACCTTCCAAACTATTATTCTGTGTGTTCCTTTTCAAGCTTTTGCTATATGCACATTTTTATGCCATTGTAATTATTATTCAATTTTTAAATTAGTGTTTTTTAGTAATTCAATGAAGTAATGCAAATGAAGTAATGCAAATTTAGTAATGCAAATTAAGAATATTTACCATTTGTTTCGTTTAGGGGATCACCGAGGATTAATAAGAACCAGAAAATGACAATTTTCTAGAATCATTGGGATTTTAAAACTTGTCACACTAAGATGATGATTCTAAACACTGGCTTATTATTGGCAGTAAGAATTTTTATCTTTTAATGTTGAGTAAGGTTCATAATTGCTATGTGCATGACAGCAGCCATACAGAATCTTTCTAACTTTGTAAATATTAGATTTGATTGTGTTGCTAGGAAACCTCCCTCAAAATAAATAAATAAAACACGCAGGAAACAGATTATAAAAACTAAATTTTGTTTCATAAACAGTGCATTCTGGGTTACATACTATTATCAAAACAGTTGCTTGTAACAGAAAAAGGGAACTCCACTATGCTCTTATCATTTCCTGCTTCATTTCACACTTTCTTTCTTGGGTCAAGAGTTTTTGTCCCTCCCTGGGCGGTGCTTTAAATCTCTGGGAAGGTCTGTTATGCATTTACTATTCCTGGATTGGTTAAGATCCCTTTTAAGTGGGTGTGCTTTGCTTTGTTCTCTGACAAGCTTTGGTCATTTGAGCAACATCCTGCTACTGTTAAAAAAAAAAAAAAAAAAAAAAAAGAGCTGAGTCATGCTGGAGCCTTCTCATGTGGCTGATGCAAACCTGGAGAATTTGCATCATCATTTAGCTGGAGTAAGTTGGTGTGACAGGCAGGAGCTTAAATACCAGCCCATGAGGAAGCTGAGCTGATCTTAATGATAGGGCAGCCGCCGCGGCCACAGCGCAGAGGTAGTCGGAGGAGGTGGAGGAGCAGGAGCCCCAAGAACTCACAGGTGCTCCTGAGGAGTAATTAAATAGCTGTGAAGGAGAAACACCTCTGAGTTTTTACCTGTGATCACAGTAGCACTGAGAGACAGTCTGGGAGCAAGGAGGAAAAGACTGGTTCCTCACACCAAGAGACATCAAAGTTGAAAGTTTCAGGTTTTTTGTTTTTGTTTTTTTTTTCTTTTTTCCCCTCCTCTGTTTCATTTTTCCCACGGTGTGTCACTACAATGACCAGAAAGCCTGTGGTGGCCACCATCCCCAATGGAGGTTACCTGCAGGGGACTGTTAAAGGGGGGCTGCCTTCCCCGGGGGGCAAGGAGCCCCCTGGGCACGAGGCAGTGATGCTGAAGAAGAAAATCACTTTGCTGAGGGGCATCTCCATCATCATTGGCACCATCATTGGATCGGGAATCTTCATCTCTCCCAAGGGCGTGCTCCAGAACACGGGCAGTGTGGGCATGTCTCTGATTGTCTGGACCGCCTGCGGGGTCCTGTCACTGTTTGGTGAGTGCAGCGTCTTCTCAGGGGGTGTGTCTGTGGAGCTGGGCAGTTCTCTCTCTGGGAAAGCAAAGGGTAATGTTTAAGCAGTGAATGAAATGGCCAAGGCTGTCCTCCAAATTTTCTGACTTCTGTTTAGATATGCGGGCTACGCAAACGCAGCGTCCACTGTTGACAGGATCCTGAATTCCTTCAAGTCTATTCCTGCAGGCTGTCTTCCCTTTTCCTAAGACAGACTGTTCCCTGACTTTTCCCTGGGGCGACCAAAGCAAAGGCTAACTTTGATGAGCCAGTGAAATCCATGCGAGCTTTCTGTCCCGGGCGGCTGTGCTCGGCTCTGTGTCCGGGGCTCAGCAGCTGGCACGCTGAGTGAAACACCTGTGAAGTGAAAGCTGGCGTGGCCTATTTAGACACGGAACTGAGTGTTCAGCAGAAGTTTTACTGACTTTTTTTTTTTGGCAAAACAAATGGGTGGCAGTCTTTTCCTTTTAAATTTTTTTTAACTTCATGTGCTTGTCAATTCCTATGGTTCTTTCAAAAGTCCTTGATGTGGAAAGATGTGTGATGGCATATGACTCAATCATTATCATGAGTGGATGTATTGCAAGGGTCTGAGCATACTACAGATTTTTTTTTTAACCTTTCATCTCTCACCTATAAATTTTTGCAATATAAACTGTGAAAAAGGAATTGGGCATTAGTTTGCTGTGCTTGCTCAGCGCTGTTTTCTTCATTTATAGTCCCCTTGGTCTCTAGAGATGCAGACCATTTGTCTACCTGTTCACTGAATGGAACTGCTAGGAGAAATATGATTATTAATTTTCCTTTGAGATCAAGATTTCTTCTATCGATTTGACAGTTAATAGTAAAGAAGTAATAAATGTCCCCTCATGAGGTGAACAAATTACTAGAAAGCTTACATGAGTTAGTTGTAAAGGTGACAAAAACTGGTGAATGGTCCAAAAAAAAAAGTTTCTTTTTTGCTGTGGGGTAAATGTTTAAGATATATTTGCTTTTCTCTGGAAAATTGTGTGTTTTGATTTCAAAAGACACTACTCTGTAAAGGTACTAACTCTGTTATAACTCTAGGACCAAGTAAGTACTAGCTCTTGGTTCTGCACATATCAATCCATTCATTCTTAAGGCCTTGTGATGTTTTAATTCATTGGTTTGAGCATTCAGAGGTTCTCAACCTGTGGATCGCGACCCCTTTGGCGGTCAAACGACCCTTTGACAGGGGTCGCCTAAGACCATCCTGCATATCAGATATTTACATTACGATTCATAACAGTAGCAACATTACAGTTATGAAGTAGCAATGAAAATAATTTTATGGTCGGGTCACAACATGAGGAACTGTATTTAGAGGGCCAGAAGGTTGAGAACCACTGATTTAAAGAACTCAAATTTCTATTATTTGTAACAAGGCATTTATTTATTTTAAAGGAAGAAGGTATTTTGAATAAAACTTGTTAAACCAGAGCCTTAGCACAAACAGACTCATGCAGGAATAATTTTTAGATTTTTAAAAGGAGGTCATGGTACTCACACGGTCTGGCATGTACATCTATAGACAAAGAGAAACCTAATGGTTGATCATCTTAATAGGAAGCAAAGCAAAATGTAAAAGGGAAACTCTGGAACTAAAAGTAAAGAATCTATATATTTGGTTTATGATTCTTTTTTAAAGCCAAAGTCAATACATGGATTTTTATATTCTGTTTTGAACTTTTTTCATGAGCTTGAGAATTTTAAATGAAAATCTCATTTCCCCAGAACTCAATTTAAACCTAGGTTAACCATCCTGGAGCTTCTGCAAAGCATGCACAGGTCTAGGTATTGGTTCTCTGACAATAAATACTGGGGACTTAAGACTCTTTACAATATCTTTTTATATTGGATGCTTTTCTGCACAGCCTATCAACATGGTTTCCAACAGAGTGTAAATTGCAGATAGTTATAGTTAATTATAATTAGGCAAACTCTACCAGTGATCCCCAACTGTCAATCTGTGGACTAGTTACTCTAGATTCGAGGGCAGCCATGGGCAAACTACGGCCCGCGGGACAGATCCGGCCCATTTGAAATGAATAAAACTATTGAAAAAAAAGACCGTACCCTTTTATGTAATGATGTTTATTTTGAATTTATATTAGTTCACACAAACACTCCATCCATGCTTTTGTTCCGGCCCTCCGGTCCAGTTTAAGAACCCATTGTGGCCCTCGAGTCAAAAAGTTTGCCCACTCCTGTTAGAGTCTAGAATCACCTGTGCAAATTTTAAAGTATTAGATTACCTTGGATTCTTTTATTGGAGAGTCTAGACCCGTGTACGGCAAACTGCGGCTCTCGAGCCACATGCGGCTCTTTGGCCCCTTGAGTGTGGCTCTTCCTAAGCCTTAGGAGTACCCTAATTAAGTTAATAACAATGTACCTACCTATATAGTTTAAGTTTAAAAAATTTGGCTCTCAATATGTAGTTTAAGTTTAAAAAATGTGGCTCTCAAAAGAAATTTCAGTCATTGTAGTGTTGGTATTTGGCTCTGTTGACTAATGAGATTGCCGACCACTGGTCTAGACTCTCTTGGTTAGAGTATGGGTCTGGGGTATGGCCCTAGACAGGGGTGGGCAAACTTTTTGACTCGAGGGCCACAATGGGTTCTTAAACTGGACCGGAGGGCTGGAACAAAAGCATGGATGGAGTGTTTGTGTGAACTAATATAAATTCAAAGTAAACATCATTACATAAAAGGGTACGGTCTTTTATTTCAATAGTTTTATTCATTTCAAACGGGCCGGATCTGGCCCGTGGGCCGTAGTTTGCCCATGGCTGCCCTAGAATCTGGTTTTTTGTTTGTATTTGAATAGAAAATTCTTCCTGGGTAATTCTGATAAAATGCTAGGCTGAGGAATGGGATAAGTGATATTAAGATTTCACTGAGTATCGAAATTCTATTCATGTTAGACAGTTGTACCTAAAGTCTTGCTGACTATTGATAATTTCCCATACTTTTAGCCTCTGAAGTAGCTCAAGCAAAAATCAAGTGTAACATTTGAGTTCTTAGCAGTATGGTAGAACTTTTTACATCATAACAAGATATATTTTCCATTTTCTTCACAAGTAATTGTTCAAATTAATGGATATAGCTGTTTTTCAAGAGGTACTTATTTCAAGTGTGAGACCCAGTAATGTCCTTGGCACCTATTATCACATTGATACACAAAACATGAAACTGAAATTTTAGGAGGTTACATAACTTAAGCCCATGTGAATTGTATTGCTAAATGTTAAAATTTGGTTCACATGAATTTTATCAAATGTAATAAATACAACTTATACCATCTCTTTTTTAAAAGTATGTTGTTTCAACCACTCAGAAGTATATACTTTTAAAACATCCAGGAAAATGTTTTTCATAAATAGAATATCTGAATTAAATTCATTTTGTTGCACGAAAGACATATCCTACAAGATAATTAAAGCTTTTCAAGACCTAGAATTTATACTTTTCTGAAAACAGATAAATCTTCTTTTATTTTTTTACTGGAGAGAGAGAGAGAGAGAGAGAGAGAGAGAGAGAGAGAGAGAGAGAGATATATTTTTCTATATATTTATCTACTTTGTT